TATTGCTTTCCTTATAGATAGCAGTTGTTCCGTCCTTGTAGATAGCAGCCAAGAACAGGGAGAGAAAGTAACTTGAGAAGTATTGCTCATTTAGGTATGTCTGCATCATCGTATGAATATGTATATGTATGTGTTTATTTCCTTTCCCCTTTCTTGTAGAGCTGTATAAATATCAGGGCATCCATTGTGCCTACAGGGGAGTATCTCCCACTAACCTTTGGTGGGGTTCCCCTCCAGTACGTACTGCCTAATAAACACTGCAGTGAAGCCTTGATTATTTTGCCTTCGTGTCCTGGATTTTGATTCCACACTGTTATGCAAGTTGGGTAAATTATTGAAAGTAGCAGCAGCATATACTTTATGCTTCATTCCTCTCACTTCATTGCATCCCTGCAAAAAAACCAGCCTTTTTCTAAGCTCAGTTACTTTAAGCTGAAAGCCAGCAGAATCCTTCTTATGCTTGTAATTTTGCTCCCCCACATCCCTCCCCACATCTATCCTAACAGTACCTGGTCTGGGCAGCAATAATCCTGCAGCACAGAGATCCAGGCAGTCCTAACCCTTTGTTGCCATATAGTGGTCATCCAGCCAAGATCTGATAGTCTTTTGGTTCACCCTCACATCCTGCTAAATGTACACAAAAACACCTCGCTTATCATTCTTAAAAGACATATCCTCATGATATCACCTTCCCCAGCCCACCTCAGAGGCAGTTTAAATGTGTCTTTAGCTACTCCGATTTTAAAGTAGAGTTTTCTCCTTCTCATGATACTAGTCTTACCATATGAATGATCCCTGATTGACAATATGGGTGATGACCCAGTTAGGGACTGGGACTGATCAATTGGTTAATTTAAGCTGCTGTCAGCATGCTTCCTTCCCTCTGGTCACTGGGATCTTCCTGCCATGGCCTTTCCTCACTGCTCTGACCTCTTCCCTTGGGGCAATTTGACAGTCTGCTACTAGCTACCAACTTGGGGGGGGGAATCAAATATTTAAGTCCTGTCTTATTGTGGGATGCCTTTGTGCAGAATATAGCAAAGGATGACTCCTTCTCACATTAGCAAGCACACTAATGATAACCAAAGTGGAAGAAATAAATCGCTTTCTTTCTTCTTTGTTTTGTGAAAGAAGAGAATTGACAGAACCTCAAAAGGGAGGTTAACACTTAAAATATCATAAATTACTATAAACTGGCCCAAATATGATTATACCATCATAATTCAAAGACATGTAACGTATTTAACATACATTAAGTGTTCAAGAATATAAATATCCAGGTGCCACAGCAGATTGATACACTCTGGAAAATATCCCATCACTGCCTTTCTGTTCTATGTATATCTTTCAAGGTGCATCACACTGACAGACATTTTATATATGTTTTGACACACAAGTAATGAAGGCCATTCTGACTGGAGATCAGTGGTCTTATTGCTTCATGCAGGTCTTGGTTCCCTATCGCTGTTCTCTAGAGTTCTGGGGTCTGAGTTGGAGCCAGAGGGGCTCGTCCTTTTGCAAGGGCAGGGTGGTTAGTCCTCAGGTGGTTTCCCAAAGCTGTGTGAAGGAGAAATCATAATTATTCTTATTGTAAGAACTAGCTCATACCTATATGTCCAGTTTTACAGGAAACAACTCGATTGCCCAAGCTAATATTATCCTAGTGTTTTACAAAGTCTTTATCATTCTTTCACAGACGGAGAAATCAAAATGCTCAGGTCAATGCTTCCTTTCATAAACAATGGATGTACCTTATTTATTATTATAATATTATATTCTTGGGGGTAGAGTTGATATCTTGGAGGTTACTAAGCTGGGCAAAAGGAGTTTTGAATGCAACCTAGTTTTATGTACTCAGAAAAAAAGGGGTCCTAAGTCTGAATCCAGTTTGACTACTGGTGGTTACAAGCCCATGTCTGTGTTCTTTTCTTAGTATCCATACAGAAGTGGTCTGTTATTGCTTTCTTCCAGAAAGGGAATTATTTATTTAAGTTTCTCAACACTAGACATGAATATGCAGGAAAAAAGATAAATCTGGCATCTCAAGGAGGAAAGCTGTAGAATTATATCCTTGTTTGAATCAAACCCTAACATTTTGATGTAACTCAATATTGTTGAGGGTACATGGGTTGCATTCCAGGAAATCAGACCAAACAGATGAGATCTCACTTTTTCTTCTTTTCAACACTCTTCCATACAATAGTTTTCCAGTTAGAATTGACCACAGTAGTACATTAAGAAAATGGATTAAACTTCTCAATGACTTTTTAAATTTAGTGCTAGCCTTTTAATATCAGAAATGGAGAGTATAACAGATAAGGCAGTCAGTCTCCACCAAGAAGCTGATCTCAGATTAATAAGAATCTCTGAAAATTTATTCTTAAGGTGAGTTTGCCTAAACTTATCTGACCAGGAGACCAAGATGTTCTCTTTTAGACCATCTTTGCTAAAGTGAAGTTTGTCTGCTTTTCAAGATAACTTGCAATTAGCTAAGTTAGAGCAATAAATTACTTTAGTTTTATGCTCTTCTTTGATATTTGGCTATCCCATTTTTAAAGGGAATGTCTTACTAAAACCTTTCTCATGTCCTAAGCTGAATCATAGGGTTATGAATCCCATGAATTCACAGGATTTTAACAAGATTTTTGTTAAGTTGTAAAGTACCGTATTTTTCCGTCAATAAGACGCCCCCATGTACAAGACGCCCC